GCATCTAAGGGAGTGACTAAAGGTTAGAACTGTAGAGGCTGTGAGTATTTCTTCTTTACCAGCTGACTGTGAGGTCAGAGATCCAACAGCTAGACCTGCTACATGGCTCAGCATTTGGCTGGATTTCTTTCACATATTTACTGCATTATTTTGAAGTTTTGGATTTTTTTTTTTTCCTCTGTTACATGGTTAATATTTTTAATAAAGTTCTTTTAAAACCAAATCTTTGCAATAGTTTTGCTTCTGTAAAGCTCATTCCTTGAACTGTCACGTCAGAAGGTTAAAATGAAGAATGAGTATCTTAGAGTTCTACCAAATTATTTATATGGTAAATTAAATTTTATGTAGCATTTCAAATAGACAAGAGCCAACAATTGCATCAGTTGTATTCTGTTATGTTTTTCTGTATGTGGATTTCAGGAACTGAAGTGTGTTTGGAATTTGGCTAATGATTCAACAAAGAGCAAGAGCTTTTCAAGTTAATTTTCTGAAAATCCTGGATCAGCCACATTAAAGAATGCAAACAGATGCTTTTCTTCAGCATTTAAGGTCAGATTTAGGTTATGTTAGATTACATCAGGTTAGATTTAGATGCAGGAATAACATCCTATTCCCACAAGACTGTCTAACAAAATGTTTGATTATTTTAATAAACTTCAAGGTCTGGAGATAATGCTCATTACATTTATTTTTTTCTTTACTGCAGAAGTAAACCACTAATTATGTGAGAATGACTCCAAAATCCTCCTATGATGCTTTTCAGCACTGAAGGTAGTTCTTGCATTGTTTCCATGAGCTGAAACACTCCATTGCCTTCCAGAGGCATTTTTGCACCCCTAGAAAGAAGTGCAAATATTTTTAAATTAAAATACCTATTTGATTGACACCTCCTTATCAGGCTTTTTTTAACTGCTGACCTTGACAGCTCAGTAAGTCTACTAGTTTGCTATGTAGTGTCTCATTTTTATTAGCTGTTAGTTGCTTTATTCAATATTTATCTTTTTTTTTTTCAGTCAGGTGAAGATGGACAGTCAAAGCCTTGAAATTATGATAATAGACAGTGCTTCTAAGGGGGGAAAAAAGTAGTTGGGATAGGGATGGATGAAACAAGGAAACTTTGGATAAGTGTGTCTTACCATCATCTAGGACTTTTCAAAGTTCTAGATGTTTTTATGGAAATCAAATTGGTCAAATTGTCTTGCTGCCCCAAAACCCCAAGGTGTTTCTGCTTTTTGGGGTGAGGGGGAGGTGTCCCAGGAATCTACATATGTTTTTTTCAAAGCAATTTTATCCCTTAGGGCAGAAATTTCACACCAGACCCTAACACTTATTTTTAAATCATTGGAGAGTTGAAAAATTCAGAACCTCAATTTTCTTTTCTGTCATCTCAGTTCTTTAAAAAATGTAAATATTGTTCTGTTACCTGTGCACAAACACAGGTAACAGAACAATATTCTCACTGTCTTCCTTGCTTTTCATGTGTCCATGTTTTCTTTTCTGTGTTATTTGCATCTTGAGCTTCACTGCTTTTCCTCTTGGGAACCAATTTCTTTTTGAGGTGATGATATTGTTGCTGAAAAAAAAGGCCTTTGTGAGTAGGTTTCCATCATCTAATTCCAGTGCCACATGCTGGGTGTAGATGAACCTCTGAAAACATCAGTGAGCTTACACTGGAGGTCCATCCCTGGAGCCAGAGGTGGAACTGCACCAAAAGAGAGGTGGAATCTGACAGGATGGTTTTGGCTGCAAGGTTTTGTCTCTGGAGACTGAGGCAATAAAGCTGTTTCAGCTCAGATCATTTCAGTGAGAAGTTCCTGTAGCAGCTACCTACCTTGCAAGGTCAAGGAGTATTCACAGACTGTGAGCACTCCAGTCTTCTAGAGTTGCTTGGATTAACCTCTAAACTGCATGTAGATTTGCCCTTGCAGTTAGATTTGCCCTTTTTTTCTGTGTCATTCTCCTCACAATCTTTCCTAAGCCTGTGGTTAGAGTCCTTGTGGAAGTAGCTCCAGACAGAACTTTGATTCAGCAACTGAGATCCATAAATGCTCAAGTTAAGTGGGAGGAAGTACTAAGTGGAGTTCTGAAAATTTTTGTGTGCTTGCCAAGTTCCTAGAGAGAGAACCTAGAAGAATGTTTACATTCAAATGAGTCAGCAAACAGGATAAAATATTTAGGGTTAAATGGTCTTAGACTGCCAACAGAACTTGGGTACTAGAACCAGCCTTTGTGTTCCTCTGCTCAGCCTGATCTGTACCATGGAAGTGTCTGTGCCTCACACAAAGACTCAACCTGGACTGAAACCAGGGTCAGGACTTCCCAAGACCTAAACTCAGGCTGCCAGAGTATGCTGTCCATGTTCCTAATTGTACTTGGATTCCTGATAAGAGATTTAGGAATGTTTAAGATAAATATTTTTATATTAAAATGTTGTGCACTTGCTCGAGAAGTGATGGTTACAACAATGAAGTTTTTTTCCTTTACATCTGCACTTTAATTTTCTTTTTAAACACAGTAAGTGAAAAATAAAGTTTTAAAACATGAGAAATATTTCTCACTTATCTTTCTGCTTTCTAAAGTAAGTATTGCATTAAAAAAAAAGTATCAGCTAGCTATTTGGAAGTAAGATTTCTAAGCAATTACATGCATATTACAAGATTTAGTAGATTAACAGCAGCAGTAACTTGCCTGAAATAGCTAGGGTTATGTTTTTCTTCTGTACCTGAAGTACTCAAATATACATTTTTGGTAGCAGGGTGGTTTTTTTGGTTTTTTTTTAATTAAAATACTGGTTTTTTTTCCTTGCTTCACTTTGTATATAAAGTTGAAGAATGGAGTTGCAGGATAACTTAGTTATATATGATATAAAACATGATACAACTTCTGAGTTGTGTGGACATTAAGTGATCTTTGGCCTTGAAAAGTTAGGGCAAAGCTGTCAGCATGTTTGCAGGACTCTGAAAAGTCATGGGCTGGAGAACCTTTTGGTAGGTAACTGAGGTGGTTATATCCTAATATATATTTATCTATGCTAACAAACCACTTTTCAAGTCAAACTACTTTTGTCAAAGCAGCAACTGAATTGAAATATTAGAACTTGCAAAGTCAGATAACTGTTATGAATCAGATGGCTTGAGGAAGGAAGTGCTGAATTCTGCATTTATTTAGATAAGAGAATAAACCCTAATGAGGAATTTTCTTAGGGGCCTTGTGGGTGCTGTGCAAGTCAAGGATGGCCAGGTTGTGTGTCAGCATTGCTAGGGAGTGCTGGGAATTGATGCTGCAAAATATTGGAGACCTTTGGTAATCAGTTCCACAGTAGGATGGCTCACATACCCTCAAAGTGTTTTAGAACTGCAGTCCTGCTCAGGCCGTGGCCATCCAAAGGCCTTCATTAGGCAAGTTGTTTCTAGTTTAAATAGAGATAATACACACAAAATCAACTGGTTGCATTCTGGTTGTTTGGAAGAATAAAATAAGTTGAAGAAAACAAGAAAATCACCAGTAGTTTAACAGCAAGAGCTTCACAAGTTGCCCATAGAATCATAGAATCCTTTAGGGTGGAAGGGACCTCCAAGATCATCAAGTCTATCTAGTGCTATGTAGTTCTGAGCTGCTGCCCCAGCATGCTGTGGCTATTTTGTAGGTCCTGTAGTGTCTGCCAGCACCGTTTGGTGTTGGGGATCCCCAGGGCCATCTCCAACAGCAGTAGGTGCTGACATGCTGGCAGCTGAATTGTCCCTTTAATCTTTCCTTGTTGAAAGGGAACATAGATTATGTTATTTCAGTCTGGTTGTGTGTTTGAGCCTTCAGCTCAATGTCAACGTGGACAAGAGAGTTGCTGGACTTTAACACATCAGTTAAATTTGTCATTTAATGTCTCAAACTAAGCATATCAAACACATTGTGTGTGTAGATTTGTGGGGCTCGTGCATATTCAGTATAGCTGAGCTGCAGCAATTACTCATTTTTTAACTTAAGTAAATAAATATAATTTTTGTTTATTTGGTAAATTGTATTTGTTAAATCATTAACATTTATCATATTTAAATAATATGAATTTCATCTATTCTGTGCCCTTTGCCTAGGTCTGATGTCATGAAGTCTCACAGGTTAGGCAGGTTTATTAATGTTGGGTTGTTTTTTAAAGCTACATTTGATACCCCTTTTAGTCTGGTATTCTTCTGAAAAGTAGCTAAACAAATTAGTAGCCTCTTATTTGTTTGATGTTGTTCTGCCTGTAGTCAGAATTTTAGACATTACTTTTATGTGCCAAGGAAGGAGATTTTTAACATTGTCTGAACCAAGGTACCTCAAAGAAAATGATGGGTGCAACTTTCTCACTCTCTGAGTAAAAGAAGCATGCCCAGCTTCAGAGCTGCTTGCTCATTTTTGTGCTTTTACTGAAAATGGAGTTGCATGGCTTTATGTTAGGAAATAATTAAAGATAGTGGAGTTCAGCTTATTTATTTCTGCAGAAACATCCAATCTGAAAACCTATTTCTACTGCCAAGGCATGTCATAGAAATGATACAAGTAATTTAGAGGGTTGGCAATATTTTCTGAAGCAGAGGGACTATTTTAACAGTTCTCAGTAAACCTGAAAGGACCCAAGTGCTTTTCTGACACTGGTGCTTTTTCTTTGCTGAGAGCAATGTCTTGAAAAGTTATTCCAACAAGGTTCTAAATTTATTTTTACTGCACTAAAAGGACATTGGGGTGTTGTGTTTAATAAAAGTTCTCCCTTTCCAATCACAATCTGATTAATTTTACTGCTTTTTTTTTTTTTTTTTTAAATATTTAATCCATTAATTATTACTTTAGGTGAGAATGCAGAAGGTGTAACTTTTTTGAAACCAAAATTTGTGCTTCTTGTTTTCTCACCCCATAGAAGCAAATATTTCTGGCTTTATATAAAGTGTCTGTAGTTCCCTTGTTGCAGCAGTATGATACAGTGATTTTAACCACAGTTCTCTCTCTGCAGGGGGACACAAGCACAAATCCATATGGAGGATGAATCTCCTCCTTCTCAAGGAGTCAGTGTCAAGGTCAGAGTGTGAATTTGTGCTGAGGATTCTGTACTGCTCTACTCAAAAGGAGGAAGCTTGATTCCATTTAGCAGTAGCTTAGTCCATGCTAGTAAGGTAAAAGAAAACCAAGGCTGTAGATAGAAAAATGACACTAACAAAAGAAATGTTACTTATGTTATCCACATAAAATATTAGAAGAACAGTGTGTTCATTTTCATTTGGGTGAATTGCTCCTTTGGCTGACAGGGCTGGTTTAATTTAGTAACAAGTCCTAAAGTTACATCTTCCAGCCTAATGGTTCAACAAAAAAAACTTGTTAGAATTAACTTCTGTAGCATAATTTGAGGCAAAAACTTCCTCCCATTTTTCTTTCTAATTTTCTTTCAGATGTTGAGCTTAATGATGATGCCTTTTAAGGGGATCTGTATGACAAATAAAACTGAATAACCAGCTTTCAAACTGATTGCTAAGGTCAAATGTAGTGCAGAAGTTTCAGGAATTCTTGAGACATAAATGTTACACCTTTGGGACAGGTACTTGGACCATATGAAATCTCAAACTTGTTCTAACTCTGTCTTTCATGACTGTACAGTATGATGAGGGAACTGATCCCCTTTGGGACATAAATATTGGCAAGCTGATAGTTCAGGCTGTTTTTCATGTTTTATGGACAAAATATAATGGAGAAGTGTGGGAAGGGAGAAAATCTTGAAAGGTGAGAGCATATCTCTTACTGAGTTGAATGTAGCTCATATTCCAGAGATAGAATTTAGATTATAGTTATTTCTTACTGAGTTGAATGTAGCACCAGAGATAGAATTTAGATTATAGTTATTTTTCTCAGTCTGATAAAGTTTGTTATTTCTTTTGTTTAAAAAAAAATAAATCTGTATCCTAAGTGTTTCCTTGGGTGGAAACTACATTTTATAGTAGCATTTTCAGGTTTTTGTCTTCAGTGTATTACTTAAGTGTTAAGAAAAGCTATTGGGTTTTTTTTTAACCTGTTAATTATGAGGGATAACATGAGTGATTTGTAGAAGGAGGTTGCAGAAGAAAAATAATCTGTATTTATTTAAGGTGAATTAATTCTGACCCACTTGGAATTTAGAGCTTACATTTAGAAACAAATCAATATGTTATTCCAGTGAGGGAATCTGTACAACTGAAGGATGAATGCTCTGACTGTCCTTCTGTACCTCAGGCTTCACCAGTCTTGAGCAGAAGTGCAGTTTTGTTGATGCAGTTGGAAAAGCAGTCTGTGGTGCTTTCAGTGTTCATTATCATATTTCAGAAGTGCCTAAAACCCTCCACAGAATGGCTGCTAACTTCTTGACATGAAATTAATTGTTCTGTGGAGAGCAGATGAACGAAACCCAACCCCATATGGAGTCATGTCCTCCATCTCCTCCAACCCTGCTATTTGTTGTGAAGCACAGCATTTGCTAGGACTAGCTTGGACCTACTTGCTTGCTTATTTCCTAGCATTGATTCTCCAGCTGCCTCTGCCAAATGGATGCTGTCAGTGGAATCTTAATTCCCTTTCACTTGCAAGTTTGGCTGAAATGGGTCAGTCCTTGATGTGAGGAGATGGGATAAGAACTAGTGAGGCCAAAGCTGCAGCTTTTCCGTGCTGAAGATGCCCAACCCTCCTTTCCTCAGAAGTAGATTGTAAAGAAATATGTGATTAACTGCTACTTGTTTAAAAATTTTATTTCAGGATTAATTTAGGGTGTATTTGTGTGGTTTCAAATGTTAGCTGTGTTTCTGTGTACGTTTTTTCATAGCCATGGTACTAATGAAAAAAGCAATATCCCTTGACATCACCTGCCTCAGACTTCCAACTGGAATTTACTCACAGCTTTGTTTCAGTCAGAGGTAGGACAAAACCCTGTTCTGTGACAGATCATTTGCTACTTGCTAGGAGTAAACTAATGATGCAGTCCCCACTGTGATGTGGTGAACTACATAATGCCTGAGATAGGCAAAATGTGTCCTTAGTCCCCTGCTGATCTGGCAAGTGATGCTGCTTTTCTTTCATGTCCATAGCCTTTTTTAATTCCAGTAGAGAAAATCTGATGCATGCTCCCTGCAAAGTTTGCAATAAATTTTGATGCTGCAACATTTTTCTGATTTCTGCTATGCTGAAGCAGTAGAAATTGGTGAGATTCAGACATTATCTGGACTAGTTTTAATTTCTGGAGAGACCTTGTGATTCTTTTCCTTCAACTATAAACTTGTCATTTGTCCTTGGATAAGCTGGAAAGTGTTCAGTTATATATTTTCTTTTATTATATGTCTACTTACATCAAATACAATAAAATACAACTTATATAAAATACAATTACTTACAAATATTCTTAGGAAGTTCCCAAAGATTCAATAATTGTTGAAACACAGAAGTAAATTTCAGAAGTAAAAGAGAAAGCAAAAGGTTTTTCAAGGTTCTCAGGGTTCCCTTTGCAATGTGTGCAACCAAAAGTGTGTACTTTTCAAAGATAAGTATGTTCTTGGGCAGAATTTTTTATGGTTTCTTCTTTTACCAGCAATTTTAACACTAGAGTTAAGGACACAAAGTATTTTCAGGTTTTGAATTTATACTTCATACTTTTATAATACAATCAAGAGATTTATTATATTAGCAGTTAATGTTCTGTGGATATAGTGAAGAAACAACTTCACCATTTAACTTCTTGGACTAATCTCCCCATGCATATAGATCCTTTCTTTCTGGATCACAATCTATTTTACTTGTTAATTTTAATGGTTTCCCTCCAAGTATTGTTCTAGAATTAGAACACTGGTTTGTGTTTCAAAAAGGAGAGGGTAATGTTTCTCTAAATTTTTCCTTTTACTGTGGAAAGATAGGCATTTCTCTCTGTCTAGGCACTTAACATCATTTTTTTTATAATATCAGGTCTTGGAGGCAACGTTATTGTCAGCCCTGAAGATGCTGGATGTTGGGAAATGGCCAATTTTTTCTCTCTGTTCCCAAGAAGAACTCAAGTTAATTCGTCAGGCCTGTGTGTTTGGCAGTGCTGGCAATGAAGTGTTGTATGCAACTGAAAATGATGAGGTAATTGGCCAGAAGTGTGTATGAACATCACACATTTAGTCATTTATGTATCAAGTTATTCTGAAAGCCACTACTAGGATGGTATCCTTAGAAAAAACTGCATGCAAAAATACCTGACTATTTCAATGGTTCTGAAAACATGTTCAGTTAAAATTAATGGCTTCCTACCACAGTCAGTGGATGGAGAAAAGATGGAGTTAGACATGTCCTGAAGGTGCAGAGTGATAGGATGAGAGGCAATGGACACAAGCTGGAAGATGGAAAATTCTGATTCAGTATTAGGAAAAAAAATGACTATCAGAGTGGCTACATTCTGGAGGAGTTGTGAGATCTTTTCCTTGGAGGTGTTCAAGGCTGGACTGGGTGTGACCTTGAGTCAATGGAACTATTTAGACCTTTGCTGAACAGGAGGTGGGACCAGCTGACCTGTGGAGGAGATCCTCCTCTCTTCCAATCCAAATTATGGTTCTGTGATTCTTTTCTAACAGGTTTTTGTGCTTGGTGTGAACTGCAGTGGCTGTTTGGGAACAGGTGACATGCAGAGCACTATTGAACCAAGGAGGTTAGATTCTCTGTGTGGCAAAAAGATAGCCTGTCTGAGTTATGGGAGTGGCCCTCATGTTGTTCTTGCTACAGAAGGTAAAGTATGCTCTGAATATTGCTTTTTCAGATAGTCCACTTTGGTGAGGCCAGCAGGTGAGAAAGGTCTGTGCTGGTAACTTGAGAGAATTGGGACAGACCTTCTGGGCTACCCAACGTATTTTCAGTGGTAAATAGGACATGTCAACTAGCTCTGTTCATAGCTAGTTCTCTAGAGCTTTTCAAGCTCTGCTTTGATCTTGTTCCTGCTTTTTGGAAGTTGTTTTTTTTCCCAATGTGCAGTTAGATTTGGACCTTCTGATTGCTTTTGACATGCAGCAGTGGCTACGTTACACACATGTGCTCTGGTGCCAGTGTCATCCTTCAGATTAAATCCCTTTTCTCTCCTGTACCTACTTTTGGATGTGCTTTCAAGACCAGTTATATTGCTTCTCAGCCTTTTGTCACTCCATTATCCACATCATGCTAGCAACCCTTCTGTTCCTAATTAAGGACATTGTTCTCAAAGACAGATGACTAATACTGTGCTCCCAGTGAGGTCCTGGTAGAGCCTGACTGGTGGTGTTAACACTTGTCTCTCTTTCTCAGTGATTCTTGATCCTTCAAGGGTCCTCTTCATTCCATTCCTGTGAATAACCTCCCTTCAGCACAGCCTCTTTTAACCTACCTTTGAGACAGCCATTATGTATTTCACACTTCTTGTGTTAATTACTATAATTTGCATTTTATCTTATATGTTTCTGTGTGGCTGTTTACTGGGGCTTGTATTCTCAAGTCAGTGAAAGGTAGAAAAGGTTGTTTGCTTCTGATGGGACACAGTAATTAGATTTAAAGTGGTATTGTAGAGAAATATTGATTGACTGTAGCACATATTGCCTGTGTAGTTCTGAGGGAGCCCTTCTTGGGGAGAAGGAGTTTGGTGATGATGATGGGGTCGTGTGTCAAACCTGGCTCTCCTACAACAGCAGCATAATTTAGGTTTAGAAAATGATGATGATGATGATGATAACAGACCAGATGAATGTGGGACAGCTATTCATCAGTCAAGATATAAGAGGGACATCAAGTCCTGCACTACTGTAATTAAAGGATTTGAAACAGATGAAAGGAGTACAAAAAGGTGGTAGCTTTGTGGATAACCAGCCAATATATGTACATTAAAGTACCTGGTAATATCTGTACTCTAGGGGTTGTAAATACTTATGGCCTCCAAAAGGTCCCCAGGCTTGTTTCCCTTCAATGGCACCTTTTTGCTGTTGCCAGTGGGAGGCAGAATCCTGCACTAGGTGGACCCTAGATCTAACCCAGTCAGACATATCTTGCACTCTTAATGTTACTAGCATGTTTCTCAAAGTACAGGACATGAATAGCATGTTGAAATAGAAAGTAAGTAAAAGTGTGTTTATTAAAAAGTAATAATAAGTTTTTCTTGCAAGCACCTTCATATTATAAAGGAATATATTTCTTTTATATATTCCTTTACGTATATTGTAAAGGAATGAAAACTTGCTGTTTTGATTTTCCAAAGCAGGAAACAGTGCCAGGACAAAGGCTAGGAATTCTGATTGTCAGTAACAAGAAATTGAACTGAGGACTGCTGACTGTCATTTCAGCCTTTTCTCTCCTGTGTTGCACTATCTCCTTTCTTTTAGCTAGACAGTTTCCTTTATTCAGACTGTGGTGATACTCTCCTTTTGGATTTGTGGTCAAGACTATGTAAAAGTACCTTTTGTACATCCACCTGCTTAAGAGCCCCAAAGGACATATACATATGTACACTTTAAAATGGATATTATTATTGGATTTCACTCTTCAGTTTGTAATTTTGTGTTGTGTGCTCACTGGAAAAATAGATATTTTAAAATAACTTTGTCTTTTATTATAGAAGGAGAAGTGTATACGTGGGGCCATAATGCTTATAGTCAGCTGGGCAATGGTACAACAAATCATGGTTTCATTCCCTGTCAAGTCTCCACTAACTTGGTGAACAAGAAAGTCATTGAAGTTGCCTGTGGCTCTCATCATTCTATGGTGCTAACATCTGATGGAGAGGTGAGAATAGCTGGAATAAATCCCTCTTTTCTCTGTTACATCTTACAAAGGTGAGCTTCCTATTGAAGGAACATAAAAGAATGGAATATAGAAGTATTATGAGTTGCATATTTGTGATAGAAAGTTAAATTGTAAACCTGTGTCTTCCTAGATCTTCCTACATCCACTTCTCAAAATGTGTTTTTTTATGCATATAACTATTTTTTCTTGAATATATACTTTGAACTGTTTTTAAGCCTTTTATGGCAATTCTCTTACAACAGGTATACACATGGGGTTATAATAACTCTGGCCAAGTTGGATCAGGTTCAACAGCCAATCAACCAATTCCTAGAAGAGTTACCAGCTGCCTGCAAAATAAAATAGTGGTTAATATAGCTTGTGGACAGATGTGCTCTATGGCTGTGGTGGAAAATGGAGAGGTAAGACATTTTCAGTGAATTTTCTGCCTGAAATTTATTTTATGTGATATCATGGGATGTAGATCATTTCATAGCTGGCAGTAATGAGCTCCTGCTCAGAAGAGAAGTATACCTCTCCAGACTGCCTCAGATGTACTAGCTCATACTGCTTATAAAAACCTTTGTCATAAATTGTCCAGGGCATTCTGATCTCACTTAAGCACTTCTTTGTGTCCATGCTGATCATGGTTTCTTCTGTAGAAAGGAGATAGAGTGAAACAGGGGAAATTTTTTCACTAGCATTTGGTTTATGGCTTTTTGGTTTATGAGATTATAAAATTTAGCAGCTGTTACTTTTTATCAACTATTGAAGTTGGCTTTGAGTTGAAGGAATTCAAGTGTCACATATCAAATACAGTTCTGAAGTAAAAAAAAAGCATTTTGAAGGTAAGGAGTTTTTTTTTTTCTAAATTTTGGGGTTAAATCATATCAAACCAATATGTGTACACTTGACATTTCATGCATTCAAGTGCCACATTTCAAATTTACTTGAAAATACAGTTCTGAAGTAAAATTTTGAAGGTAAGGAATTTTTTTTTCTAAATTTTGGGGTTAAATCATATCAAACCAATATGTGTACACTTGACATTTCATGCTAGCTTCATTTTCTCATGTGTAAAACTAAATTGTTTGTATCATCAATTTACTGATTTTTTTAGAGCTGGTGTTACATTCTAGCAAAAATTAAAGCATCCCTTGGATCTTTCTCATACTTTTTTATCCTCACTGCAAAGATATGAAGAGGTTGTAGTGTTCTTGGTTTAGTTCATATAAGCTGAAGATTTTTGGGCAGCCTACATCCTCTCTAGCTCCATCACCCCAAACATTTCAGTAGCTATTGACTGTTCACAGGAGAACATATGTCACTGAAATCATCAGAGCACAGTGTTTTCCCTTTCTCTTACCTTAGCAGCCTGCTCAAACCGTTGTGTGCAGCTTTCAGTTTATATTTGGTTTTGTGTGTTTTCTGCTCAAGGATTTTTGAACAAGAAATTAGGGCTTTGAGAAAGGGAAGTGTTCC